ACGCCTTCTTACCCCTGAAGACCAGGATAATGCCGTCTCACCAGTGGAGCCAACCGCCACAGCGGACGAGGTGCAATACCCGGTTCTTGATGTTGAAGAGGAGAGCGCACCGGTGAGCCCTGCAAGGAGCGAGGGTCAGATGAGTTGGCGGGCTGACACACCCCCTGCGAAACGAACTGGCTTGGCACAACGAGATTATGAGATGGAAGAGCCCCGACAGGATCATGCTGCAGAACAGGCAGACAAACCTGCCCAATGGGATGACTTCGCTGACATCTGGCAAGAAGAGGCCAGTCGTTCGGTGATCTCAGTTGAGGAAGAGAAAGCCCCTGTGGAGGAAGAGAAGTCGCTCCGCGATGTCTTCACAGAGGACATTCCCACCAAATCGGCTGCAAGGACCTGGCGTCGTAGAAAGGCGAATGAAGCTCTTTACAACAAGAAAGTTGAGTTACAGCGAGGGCCAAGCCCTGCCCAGGCGGAACCTGCAGTCACAGAACAACCCGAAGATGACGAAGACAAAGACGAAGAAGAACAGGATGAGCAGGATGAGGATGTCGTAACTCCACTGGAGGAAGACAAGCCGATCCAGATTGACGATGAGTTGAGTCCGGCAAGCGAGGCCAGTGATGACACCGGCATGTTCTTCCAGTCGAACATGCCCAACGTCTTCAATCAAAAGCGACCATCCCGTTTCGAACAACGGCGGCAACGAAGACAAGAGAAGGAGAAAGTCAGCCTTTCTGAACTTTTAGACCAAGGTGAAAGCTTCGTTCCCGAGTCTTCGCCGCCGCCCATGGCAACAAAGAAGCCATCCCCGACAACAAAGACGAATCCTTTCATTGACACACCACCTCGCTTCCCTGCACTCATGAGCTCCCCAAAGAAGAGCAGTCCTTTGAGGCGAGAACTTCAAAGCGCCGACATCTCAACAAGCTCGGTGCAGTTTGAAGAGTCTACACTACCACTTGCTCAAAGCTCACCATTCCATACTATTGTGGATGGCGATAGCAAAATCTCTGCAGCATCCGATCAACGACAGTTCCGAGTAGAGATGGAGGGTAATACAGCTTCTACGATAGTCCGCGTACGCGAGGAAGCGAATGAATATCTGGATGCCTACGAGCCGCAAGAGCGGACTTTGAACGACCTTACTGAGGTCACTGAGGAGCCCAGCAGAGTTCTGCATCAAGAGCGCAGTCGTCTTCCATCAAGTCCGCCAAAGATGCAGCAACGGTTCCAGCAGAACTTGTTATCTGCCCGCAAGCCTTCGCCGCTCTCGCAAGCCTCGCAGCAATCCGAAGAGGTCCCCGCATCATCACCGCAACAATCGCCCGCGCGTTACAAAGGTCCCCAGGTCGTCGACGAGTCAATCGAAAGTTCCATCAGCGAGGAGTCACAAGCCAGCCCAGAAGCAAGCAGCCAGCCCGCCACATCTCCACCCCAGCAACCGCATCTCTTAGACCGCCTAAAGTCGACCCTCACACGCCCCCCACCGCCATCCCCCCACCCAATCCTCTCCCACCTCCACCCCCTCCCCAAAATCGAACCCTGGACCCGCACCCACTACAAAGCCCTCGACAAACTCTACACAGTCCACCTCAAACACCCCGCCCTCTTCTGCCCCTCCACCATCCCCCCAACCCGCCTCTCAGCCACAAACCACACCCTCCTCCGTCAATTCCTCTCCCAAAACGGAAACCTACCTTACGTCGGCGCGATATTCCACGCTTGGGGCTACCAAATGGAGATGACGGAGGAGTTGGTTGTTATGTGCAGTGTGTTTATGCAGTTACTCACGCTGGAGAATGAGAAAGAGTATTTCGAGGTTACGCAAAGGAGGTTGCAGGTGGGGGATTGTGCGCCGGGAAGGATTGGCGAGAAGATTACGGGACAGGAGGTGCTTAGGCGGTGCGCGACTGTTGTTATGGGGGAGAGTGTTAGGAGGGATGAGAGGGAGGGGAGAGCTATTGATCGGAGTTTGGGGTTGGAGGTTGAGTGGCCGGTGGGGAGGCGGTGATGTTTGTTTTTTTGGTTGGTTGGTTGGGTTGGTGTTTTGGGTTGGACTGGACGCGCATATGAATGTTATGATACCTGTTTCTTACTCTTTGGGTAGGTGGGGTTGGAGTTTGGGGGATGTTGAGATACCTTTATTTGGTCTTTTTGAATGTGATTGAACTTTCTTCAAGATCGTGCTGCTGGAAGGTGGAAGAGTCAGTGATTTATGCTCTTGATTAGCAGTGTTCATGCGACACAGCATATGTATTACTTTGTGTTGAGATGCTTGTTATCAGGTAAGAGTCCTGAGCAAGGCAACAGAATGCGATTAGATAGACACTTTCTATCTGATTTACGTTCATGCGGATATATTTCTGCGATATCCTGTATCTGCTGCATCGAACTATACGAGTAGAACAAGATTCGTTACAAGAACGTCTTGCAAAACAAATTGTAGTTTACAGTTTCTCTCATCGAGACAAGAACTGTAAAAATCGAAAGTGTGAGGTTTACCTATGTAGCGTTTGACACAAAAAACGTTTCACAACTCACAACACGCAACCAGATAAACGTAAAGGCCAAAACAAGAAGCTCGCTAGCACTACCTGTATCTTCTCTTACCTATCCCCCATCTAATAAAGCCAAAAATCGGCAAAAAAGAAAGATCCATAAAGGGCTCAACCGGGATTTGACTAACACATGTTAGTGGTTGATACTTCCGTAATTCGAACACACTGGCAAACATACACCCGGGACCTCCTGCAGTTTGTGAAAGCTTTTCCCAAAGCAGGAATCATGCGACTAGCTAGTAGAGATATTAGTCGGGGTGTTTGACTTGAATGGGTGAAGTTGGGGACGTACACCATTGAGCCGTTGGATGGGTTTGATGACTAATCGGGGATTTGGAAATCTTATAATGTTGAAGTTAGTTCTGGAGTACCAGGAACTACATTAGACTGGACTTAGTATCTTGAATTATGGTGTGGGCGTTGGTTCAAATTTAGTTGTGGGTGGAGACGGTGGAGAGGGGCGGTCAGGACGAAACTCGTTTACATGCAGCAGTGGCTCAACAAAGCGGACAAATGTAGCCTAATAATTATCCTCCGGTCAATTACGTGTGATGAGCGTGTTTGAACAACATGATTAATTCATGAACATAGGGGGATCAAGTTGCGCTCATAGTTTGAACTTTATTGAAGGTCTATCTTCGCTTTTCCGCTTATACAGAGAGCCTGACCCGTGAGCCTTGACGGCGGCTATACGCGATCACGATACGAGATATTGAGAGCTCGCTCGTTTGCTTTTCGCTTTTGATGATGGTACAAAGGAAACAATGCTTGAGAAAGCGAGCATCAACATCTAATAACGTCCCGTTCACTTCATCTTCGCCTTCTGCCTCTTCTCCTGCAAATACCGCACTGTCTTGGAGAAGCCTGCAGTGAAAGGGCCCTTCAGAGTCTGCACAGTGGAAGGCCACTTGACTGTCTGATTGATTGCCTTGGTGACCATCTGCGGGACGTCCTTCTCACCCGCTATCCGCTTGTCAAAGTCGCCGGCAACCTGCTTTTTCAGGATACCACCGGAAGACTCGTCTTTGTTTGCATCCAGCATCTCCTGGTATTCGCGACCTGAAATGCCGAATTTGCCGCGGTATTGGAAGTAGACCTTCTCACGGAACTTCTTGGGCAACCGCCTGATCATGGTAGCGCGCCTTTCGGGATCCATATCTTGTGACATTTTCTGATCGAGCGTCTGGTCCTCGATCCAACCCCTTGTGCGCACCACGGAATCGTCGGCGTAGAGTATGTTCGGTAATGACAGTATGAGGTCGTGGTAGAGGTATCTGAAGTTCCGTATTTGGTGTGTAACGATGTTGTCGATCTTCTTGGGGTTCTCGCTGCCATATTGCATTCGCGGATCGCCCTGATAGCTCAGGCCAGTGATTGTAGAGTATAGCTCCTTCTCGGTAAACGTCTGGGGTAGTAGGAGAAGCGCGCATCGTACGGCTGAGAGGAGATTGCGTTGGTTCGCGACGCGGAGGTTGGGCTCTTCGTGGAGGATCTTGACGGGCTTGTGTAAGCGACCGGCGAAGTACAAGGTGTCCCAATCGGTGAGGTCGCGGAGGAGCGTTTCGTAGTTGACAACAGCGTACTTGATCATCGTTCCGTTCACTACAACATATGGATTAAAGTAGGCGCCTGCACCATACTTCTCCTGCACATGGCTGACGACGCCTGAGCCGAGCGAGCCCAGGAAAGAATAGTGGTCTCGGTGCTCGCGCAGATTGAGCGAGTGGAAGTGCTGCGAGAACCGCGGTGTCAGGATAAAGTCTATCATCTTTCCACCGCCCTTCTGCCATTTGAGAATTGCCTCGGGCGCGTTCGGATGCGGTGATTCCGACGGGCGTGAAGCTGTCGCAGCTGACTGAGGGAAGACGCCGGAGCCATAGGCAAACGCATAGGTAACCGGTGGAAATTGCCGGAGTATGCCCCTTAACGATCGCTTGAACTCCTCGTTCGTTTGTATCAGCTGGTTCTTCCCGAAGTCGCGTGGCAGCTGCGTGAAGTCGTCCAGCGAGGGAGGCTCATCTTCCCAGTCTGGGGGCAGCGATTGGAATGCATGTGGCTTGTCGGCGGGTACAGTCTTTTCGGATGAGATGAAGCGGCGATTGACATTAACCAGAGGCCTCCTGCACCACGCTATCCGGACTGCTGGTTGGCGTCGATACATCTTGTACAGAAGTCGATGCCTGAGGTTTCGCAAAGTGAGAGGGTGGATGACGTAAGCGGTTGCTTCCGTAACCAGCTTGGTGGATTTGATGTTTGGCTGGTCCCGCCTGCCGCGTCGTAGAGACGCGACTTCCTCTCATCCCACCCATCCCACCACACTCCACACCAGCAACTCTCAATACTGCGTGTAACTCAGGCGCTGCTCTTCTCAATTGAACAGAAACCACACAAGAACGCCCAAAAAGAGATTCGGCTACCCCCACAACAGCCAGCACTATGGACGCCGCGCTGGCTTCATTCCAGGCGCGTCTCGCGACCTTTGGCGGAGCAGCGACGACCACAAAGACGCGACGCACGAGCAGCAGATCGAAAAAGGCAGGCACAAAGTCCAAAGCCGGCTGGCCATTGGCTTCACCAGCGGCACAAGATCTCGCGTATGCGGGTTTCGTATGGAGGCCGACTACCGCCAGCCCTGACAACGTGCAATGCTTCTCCTGCGAGTGCCAGCTCGACGGCTGGGAAGAATCAGACGTCCCGGCATATGAACACGCGACACATTCGCCGAGCTGCGGCTTCGCAGTCATCGCGTGTATTCGCCTGCGTTCTGGCGACCCAGGCAGAACTGAAGAAGACCCGACCTCCGACGCGATGGTCGCGGCGCGTCGCGACACGTTCGGCGACATGTGGCCTCTCGACCCCAATGCTGGCTACCCCTCGGTCGAGCAGATGGTCGCCGCGGGATGGTTCTACGACCCCACAGACGAAACTCCCGATGGTGTCACCTGTGCATACTGTGCTCGCGCACTCGACGCCTGGGATATTGGCGATGATCCGATGCAAGAGCACCGTAAACGCTCTCCCGACTGTCTCTTCTTCACATTGTCCGACATCTACAACCCACCCATCCCTGCGCCAAAGAAGGGCAAGCGCGCTTCAAAAGCCAAGGGTCGTTCAGCACGCTCGTCTACCGCATCCACTGCGAGCAAGAAGGCTACGCGTGGCAAGAAACACATCGACGACACCACAATGGAGGACAGCGAACTATCCGAGGTGGCGCGCCCGGCACCCAAACGCGGCAAGAAGCAGATCGACGACACCATGGATACCATTGAAGTTTCAGAGGTCGTTCAGCCCGCACCCAAACGCAGCAAGAAACGTACAAGCGATGCGATGGACATTACCGAAGTCTCAGAGGCTGTACCCGCACCCAAGCGCGGCAAGAAGCGCATGAGCGATGCGATGGAAATGACTGAGATGTCAGAAGTCACACAACCAGCACCGAAGCGCGTTCGATCATCAAGCATTGAAAGTTTCCCCAGCGACTTGCCGGGCGGAACACCTAAGAAGACTCCGACTCATACCCAAGACCACGTCGCATCAGACTTCGACATGTCCAGCCTGCCAGGCGACCTGATGGTGGGAACACCTAAGAGGACCCCACCTCCTATGAGCGAGGCAGATGACAACAACGGCTGGGAGCCCGCCAATGTGGACATGCTCTTCGCGTCCCAGGGAGAGGCCCAGGGCCTGATGCAAGACATTCTCATCGACGCCGGGCTTGACAACATCGAGGCTGCTGGCTCGACACCCGAGCAAATCTTCGACGCTGTCATGGCAAACCTCACAGACCACGAAAAGTCCATGACCATCGAGCAATGGGTCCTTTACAACGCCAAGCGGGGCGAGGAGAAGTTGCGCATGGCCTGCGAAAGGCAAATCATGGCATTCGAGGCTGAGGGCCAACGCGCCATGACAGTCTTGGAGGCCATTCCCACTATTTGATTTCCCCACGCGTTCGGTGAGGATTGGAGTACTTCGGAGTTCGGTCGCTTATGATACCCCGGCATATGGACAGGCGTTTGGTTTTGTTGGTTTTCGAGGTTGTTTCTGTTGTTGTGTTTTGGTTTTGTGGTTTTGTTGTGGCCGCATCCGCCCTCTTCCCTTTCCCTTAGGCATAAGGTGAACCTCACAGTTGTAGCCGCCCGCAAGGGCTGGCTCCTGTGGGGGGATCTGGTTAGCCTAGGGATGGGGCTGGGATAGGCGAGGCATTCTTGTTGTGGAGGACGTTTCTATGAGGGATTGGATTGTTTAGTATTGTGTTTCCTTGTTTTGTACTGTATGAGTTGATGAAGAAATGGACCTTTACATGATTGATTGGTACTTCGTGGACATTCGAGTGGTATTACATGCTAATGGAAACGTGTTGTCGCTGGTTTTCATTGCAAAGCGGCAAACCGTTCGCGGGTTGTGTCACATGCGAAGAGCCGGTACCCATGGATGTCCTCTTTCGCCAACGTTCCCTCACAACACAGCCATGGATTGCAACAAGAACAATGTATGTAGTACCTCCTGTGATTACAAAAGCGAAAAACTATCATAATGACTTAAAGGGAGTACGCATATTTGGCGGTTGAGATCCATGACTTCGTTGAAACAACCAGTGGTATCCGAAATGAGAAGATTGTCGCAAGCAATACGAGTGCCCAAAAAATACAGTGGAAGGATGTCGGAAGAATGATAGAAGAATGGTAAGAGAATGCTGGAAGAATGTTGGAAGAATGTTGGAGAAATATTAGGAAAAAACACCAGAATTTTCGTACCTTTCCACATCGCTCGCACATGTGAGGCTTCTCGCCAGTGTGGATACGTTGGTGAGCCGTGAAGGCGGAGCTGCTGAATGAACTGCTTGCCGCAGTTGGGGTAGTCGCACACGTGCGGGATTCGCAATCTTGTATAAGTTCCACTCTGCATGACATGCCAGTCGGATCGTCGCTGCGAAAATTTGAGCTGGCTCCCTTGTTGCCGCTGCTGCGACGACGGATGGGGAAGGAGTGCTCGGGGTGGTGGCGATTGCGCAAGAGGAGGTAGTAGTCAAGCTGGGAGTCGCGCGGTCGGGGGACATAGGCTTGTGTTCCCGCTTGACCAACACACCAAATCCTATCTTGGGTATCCTCGGCCTCGTCAGGTGCAGGTGTGGAAGTAGATGACGGCGGTGTCGGCGGTGGTGGCGGTAGCGGACAAAGATGGGGCATGGCGCTGTTCAAGGATAGTGAAGAGGAGGACCGGAAGGATAAGTCAGAGTTGGCTGGAAGGATAGGCCAAAATATAGTCGAAATAATGCGGAAAGATGCTAGGAACCTTGTTCGTCGTACATTAGCCAGCTGCATACAGGGATCTGATGGTACCAACTTACAGGAGTATGATGTCGATGATCGTGGGGTGGACGAGGCGGATGGTATCAAAGTCATACTTGAGGGCATGGCCGAGGACTGGGGTGGTAAGACAAGTGTATGAGAGAAAGAGGTCTCTTGCTGCATGGGGCTGGCAACTCACTGTGTAGCGAAGGTCCGCCTGCGAAGAATATCTGCGTATGAATAAGGTAAGACACTGAAGCCATGCAGGAGTGCGTCGACGACGAAGATGACAGCAATGTGATGAGAGAAGTAAAATAAAGATGCGCGAAGGCGCGTGACCATTGAGTGGCGACTGGGTATCTGAACGTCGTCCGGGAAGGCTTGAAGGGGTTGGGTCGCGTGTTGATGTGAACGAATGGAAGGCTGCGGCTGAAGTATGTGAACAAACTTTCCTCTAGCAAGACGTTCTTGCTAATGTAGTAGGGGTGTTCATGGGGGGTGAGGAGGAGGCATGCAGAAGCTAGTAGGCGCGATGGGAAGGCTCGAGCCGAGAGAAAAACGATCGGCCGCCGTACCTAGGTAGATGAGAGATACAAGCGTAGTGCGCAGTCGAATCGAGGGAAGATGCCTAAACCTAATGAGAGAGCGCATGTCTATCTTGCGAGCTAGAAAGGCGCGGTGCAGGCACAACGCTATGTCACAACAATGTAACATTTAGCGACCGCATATATACATGTCCTTCCCCCTCAGTGAAATCGACCAGAGCCATGGGTCTCATACGTCCCGGTGGGTCGGATAGCCCAGACATTGTCGACCGGATAATCGAAAGGTTGATAGAGAGGCTATTCGAGAAAGTGATTGAAAAGACAGTTGAGTGGGTAGTCAAACGTGTCATTGAAAGAATGGTCGAGAGGATCGCCGAAACGGTGACTGACAAGATTGCTGAAAGGGTGATTCAAAGAACGGAGGAGAGGATGCAGCAGGAGTGCTGAGTAGAGATGTTGGCGGTGCTTTGGGGATGGTACTGCGGATATGTCTTTGCAGGATGAACACGCACGCGCAGCCAATGGCAGGTTACACTTAATCTGAGAGAAAATGCTTTCCATCGCGACTTGACGCGCTTTCACGTGACGATGAGATTCAGGAAATGATATGCAGTGGACGGGTGCATGTTTTTCATTCCACAAATCTCCTCTGTAGGTTCTCCAAAAACCCGCCTCTTTGCTGTTGTGGCTGCTGCTGCGGCTTCGGCACGCTACCACTACGAGCGTGCTTCTGCTGACCACGCTCTTTGTTCCTCTCCTTCTCCCTATCGAGCTCTCTCTGCTTATCTTCTGCTAACTTGACCAGACCTTCAACGAACTTGGTCCTTGCCTTCTCCTCTGCTGTGCCCTTCCAGACCTGCGCTAGGTCTCTCAAAGCTTGTATGCGCACCTCTGCCTTTTCCATGCCACCTTCTGGGTCGCCGGTGATGAGGTCGGCGATCTCGGTGCGCAGGGAGGCAGCGAATTCTTTGCCCTTCTGTTCGCGCGAGGCGCTGTCTGTGCCGGGTTCGGGGGCGGAGACGCTGATAAGGGAGGCTCCTAGAGATACCTCAGATGGCGGTATCGACCAGTGCATGGCCTCACCGAAGACTTTGATGACGGTCTCGAGGCGCGAGCGGACTGTGGTGAGGGTGCGGAGGTCGGAGATGTACTCTGGGGTGGTTTCATCGGGCACCTCCAGTGCTGGCTGTGATGGTTGCTCATGTGGCGCATCTGCCTGTGTCGCAGCAGCGCTCTTAGCATCGTCATCAGATGACTCCGTCTTTATCGCTATGCCGTCCGGTAGGAACTTCTGAACATCGCCCTTCAACCCATCTGTCAAGGTTTCCGAGAGCCCAATGGCCTCTCCCCGCAGCACCTCGACCTCGTACGCCAAGCGCCCGCCGCTTCGTAGTATGTCATCAGTCAGCTGTGTCAATATCGCCGATAATCGCGTCGTATGCGCATTGAGCTGTGAGAGGAGGTCTTGGGTCTGGGAGGAGAGGTCGGCTAACGAGGCGGCATTGCTCGATTTCTGCCTGGCAGCTAGCGAGAGCGAGGGGAGCGTGGCGTTGAGGTATTCGGCGGCATCGAAGCGCGAGCCCAGAAACGGGGCAAGCGCAGGGTCGGAGACGTGGGCAGACTTTGGCGTCGTCTTTTGCTCCGACACAGCCATGGCGAGGGCGAGAGCAGGGCTGAGGAAGACTGGAGCGGCGGCGGCCGTTCCTGAATCAGTTAAGCCGAACGCTCGGGACCTTTAGATGCGGGAGAGGGAAACTAGGTAATTGTGGGGGAGGGGCCGGCATCTTCCACGTCCTGGGTGCGCCGCGTACGTCTTTGTGTTTGCTATTCACTTTCTCTTTGTTCGATATGGGATCTATGATATCAGTAGTAATTGCTGAAATGGATTGCATAGCTATCATCCCTGCGGTTGCCCGCCTGCAAGATGCGGGCTGGAGCTTGGACTGAGCCACACTACTCCGTCCCTACCCACTCTTCCCAGGCAACAGGGCCCGTCCTCCACCACCACCATGGACTGACTGCGTTTCACGGATTCTAGTCTGCCAAGAGCCTGTAAGGTAGGGTCGCCAGTCGCTGTTCTTCCTCTCGCTCTTCTGTTTCGTCTCTTTCTCCTCCTCGTCCGTCGTTAGCTGTTCGTGGGCGCGATTACCTAGTTTCTAAGGTTAAGCCGTCCAGCGTTTGCTACCTCACGCCGAATACGGCAGTTCGACGTCACCCGTGGGCCCTTACCAAGGAAGTTTCCGCCTAATTCACGATCTCCAGCCCTGGAGTGTTCAAAAGATTAAAGTCGGCGGCCTCTCCACCGGATTCGCACTACGCCGCAGCCCACTCGCTCAACCACCGATCGCAATCTGCGCCAGCTTTACACGTGCAAACAGCAACCTCCACTACAGTACGCAAACACTTCGCGACACTAGCAACACTTGTCAAACACGCGCGCCAAAATGCCGCGGCGGCAATTCCAAGCCGATCTGCAAAAGGCAGCAGAAGGACTGTCGATTGCGGGCATCTCAAATGTGCGCCCTGGTGGTGACGATGGCGAGTTCACCTTCATGTGCCTCGCAGACGGCCAGCAGCTAGAGATCTCAGCGCTTGTTCCAGGTAAGCTACTTCCGGTATATGCACAGCTCGCGACACTAGGGATGGCTACAGTTCGTGTCGCATTTTACAAGATTATGTTGAGTTTCAACACGCGTTGGCTTAGGACGTGTCTGATTAACGAGGTTTACTATTGTGTATGCAGACACAGGCGCCACGAATGCTAGTCGCCCTGCTGACGAGGCCCGTACCGCTTGGAACTCCCAGAATGTCTACATTACCTTGACGGAACCTAGCTAACAGAATGTACAGAAGTATCCGACTACCCTACCGGCCATACCTGCATGATCTTCGGCGCCGATAATCTTTCTGCTGGCGTCGCTACTGCCCTTGACAGCATCGCTGACGCTACCTACGCAAAGACCGTTTCCCAGATTTTAGAGCTCGTCTCCACCCGGCTGGAGTCCACCGACCGGGATGGAGACCAGCAGATGCTCGACTCTCAGGAGTTTGAAGACTTCGACGATGAAGAGGACGAAGAAGACGAGTACTTCCCCGGTGACGA